TATGTACTATCTTTCCCCATAAGCTATCCTACGGTGCCTTTCAAACACGAATTTTCGCGAAATAAAAAAAAAATTAAGAACGACGAGGCACATAAAAATGTTCACGTTCGCGAGCATGCAACGCGAAGAACTTTGTTCGTACATATTTCACTCGCCAGTCACGAAGAGATCTTGTAAACTTGTGAGACTAAGTATTAAGTGACAAGACAATACTTGATTGAAAATGATAACATAATGGTACAGATACATCGGAACCATTAGTTCGCAGTTCCCGACTCATCGTCAACACGCTCGGTTAACGTGGAATAATATCAGTATAATCGATCGCATTCCTACCCGCGAATTCAACTCGTTCGTCGCCGAATTTCGAGAATAAACCGCGTGAGCCTTGTCAGTTTCTGCCGCGACGCGTTGGCTCCCTAATCACCGTCATCACGCTCGGTTAGCGTGGAATAATATCAGTATAGTCGATCGCATTCCTACCCGCGAATTCAATTCGTTCGTCGCTGAATCTCGTGAATAAACCGCGTGAGCCTTGTCAGTTTCTGCCGCGACGCATTGGCTCCCTAATCACCGTCATCACGCTCGGTTAGCGTGGAATAATATCAGTATAGTCGATCGTATTCCTACCCGCGAATTCAATTCGTTCGTCGCTGAATTTCGCGAATAAACCGCGTGAGCCTTGTCAGTTTCTGCCGCGACGCGTTGGCTCCCTAATCACCGTCATCACGCTCGGTTAACGTGGAATAATATCAGTATAGTCGATCGCATTCCTACCCGCGAATTCAATTCGTTCGTCGCTGAATCTCGCGAATAAACCGCGTGAGCCTTGTCAGTTTCTGCCGCGACGCGTTAGCTCCCTAATCACCGTCATCACGCTCGGTTAGCGTGGAATAATATCAGGATAGTCGATCGCATTCCTACCCGCGAATTCAATTCGTTCGTCGCTGCATTTCGCGAATAAACCGCGTGAGCCTTGTCAGTTTCTGCCGCGACGCGTTGGCTCCCTAATCACCGTCATCACGCTCGGTTAGCGTGGAATAATATCAGTATAGTCGATCGCATTCCTACCCGCGAATTCAATTCGTTCGTCGCTGAATCTCGCGAATAAACCGTGTGAGCCTTGTCAGTTTCTGCCGCGACGCGTTGGCTCCCTAATCACCGTCATCACGCTCGGTTAGCGTGGAATAATATCAGTATAGTCGATCGTATTCCTACCCGCGAATTCAATTCGTTCGTCGCTGAATTTCGCGAATAAACCGCGTGAGCCTTGTCAGTTTCTGCCGCGACGCGTTGGCTCCCTAATCACCGTCATCACGCTCGGTTAGCGTGGAATAATATCAGTATAGTCGATCGCATTCCTACCCGCGAATTCAATTCGTTCGTCGCTGAATCTCGCGAATAAACCGTGTGAGCCTTGTCAGTTTCTGCCGCGACGCGTTGGCTCCCTAATCACCGTCATCACGCTCGGTTAGCGTGGAATAATATCAGTATAGTCGATCGCATTCCTACCCGCGAATTCAATTCGTTCGTCGCTGAATCTCGCGAATAAACCGTGTGAGCCTTGTCAGTTTCTGCCGCGACGCGTTGGCTCCCTAATCACCGTCATCACGCTCGGTTAGCGTGGAATAATATCAGTATAGTCGATCGCATTCCTACCCGCGAATTCAATTCGTTCGTCGCTGCATTTCGCGAATAAACCGCGTGAGCCTTGGCAGTTTCTGCCGCGACGCGTTGGCTCCCTAATCACCGTCATCACGCTCGGTTAGCGTGGAATAATATCAGTATAGTCGATCGCATTCCTACCCGCGAATTCAATTCGTTCGTCGCTGAATTTCGCGTATAAACCGCGTGAGCCTTGTCAGTTTCTGCCGCGACGCGTTGGCTCCCTAATCACCGTCATCACGCTCGGTTAGCGTGGAATAATATCAGTATAGTCGATCGCATTCCTACCCGCGAATTCAATTCGTTCGTCGCTGAATCTCGCGAATAAACCGTGTGAGCCTTGTCAGTTTCTGCCGCGACGCGTTGGCTCCCTAATCACCGTCATCACGCTCGGTTAGCGTGGAATAATATCAGTATAGTCGATCGCATTCCTACCCGCGAATTCAATTCGTTCGTCGCTGAATCTCGCGAATAAACCGTGTGAGCCTTGTCAGTTTCTGCCGCGACGCGTTGGCTCCCTAATCACCGTCATCACGCTCGGTTAGCGTGGAATAATATCAGTATAGTCGATCGCATTCCTACCCGCGAATTCAATTCGTTCGTCGCTGAATCTCGCGAATAAACCGTGTGAGCCTTGTCAGTTTCTGCCGCGACGCGTTGGCTCCCTAATCACCGTCATCACGCTCGGTTAGCGTGGAATAATATCAGTATAGTCGATCGCATTCCTACCCGCGAATTCAATTCGTTCGTCGCTGAATCTCGCGAATAAACCGTGTGAGCCTTGTCAGTTTCTGCCGCGACGCGTTGGCTCCCTAATCACCGTCATCACGCTCGGTTAGCGTGGAATAATATCAGTATAGTCGATCGCATTCCTACCCGCGAATTCAATTCGTTCGTCGCTGAATTTCGCGTATAAACCGCGTGAGCCTTGTCAGTTTCTGCCGCGACGCGTTGGCTCCCTAATCACCGTCATCACGCTCGGTTAGCGTGGAATAATATCAGTATAGTCGATCGCATTCCTACCCGCGAATTCAATTCGTTCGTCGCTGAATCTCGCGAATAAACCGTGTGAGCCTTGTCAGTTTCTGCCGCGACGCGTTGGCTCCCTAATCACCGTCATCACGCTCGGTTAGCGTGGAATAATATCAGGATAGCCGATCGCATTCCTACCCGCGAATTCAATTCGTTCGTCGCTGAATTTCGCGTATAAACCGCGTGAGCCTTGTCAGTTTCTGCCGCGACGCGTTGGCTCCCTAATCACCGTCATCACGCTCGGTTAGCGTGGAATAATATCAGTATAGTCGATCGCATTCCTACCCGCGAATTCAATTCGTTCGTCGCTGAATCTCGCGAATAAACCGTGTGAGCCTTGTCAGTTTCTGCCGCGACGCGTTGGCTCCCTAATCACCGTCATCACGCTCGGTTAGCGTGGAATAATATCAGGATAGCCGATCGCATTCCTACCCGCGAATTCAATTCCTTCGCACCGCTACTGCAAATTTTCGTAAAACAGCTCGAATGCCTTGATTAAAAATTAGAAATATGAATTTGAAATTTGTTAACGGTGGCACAGACGCTCCCTTTTAGTCGCCTTTTACGACAAGCAGGGATACTATGGGCGTATTCTACATCCCCCCGCCCACAGGGGGTGATTTGAGATGATAAAAAATACAACACAATTGATACAATACAAATGTCAGTGCAATATCAATAAAATATGATAAATTGACTTTTAATTATTTTTAGATAATATCATTTTATTTTTATTGATGAACAAGTAATTATCAGGGTTGGGTTATCGTAGAAAATTATTCGTGTATGTAGGTAAATCTTGTTTTGTCATTGTTTAAATTTACTTGAATGCAATAATTTAAAAATGTAAGTAAAATGGAAGCTAATAAAAAATTATAAAAAAGATAACGATGAAAATTAATTAAAAAAAAAAAAAAAAAAAAAAAAAGCGCGTGACTTTACTTGTTAATGTAGCAATCAATTTGATTTAAATGATTTAATTTAATTTGATTGTAAAACAACATATATTATCAGTTCACAATGACGTAGTTATACTTGATGACGTCATTTGTAGAGAAAATGTAATACAATTTGCAATTTAACATGTTTGCTACTAGCATCACGTATATCTATCAAAATATTTTGTATCATATGTTTTAAAATACCTGCAATTCAGAGTCTATCACAAAATCCATAAAATAATATAATATAATAATATGCATAGTCTATAGTAATATTTCTTTGTTTTATGTTATCTCATAATATAAGAAAAGGAATAGTCTATGATGGACGAATTTCTAATTAAGTGCTATTACTGAACATGTTAAATTGACAATAGATATCTAGTGAGCATAGTGACTGTAAAAAGTAGTAAAAAAAATATTAATATGTACTTAAATCAGAATTGAAGGATGACTTTCCATAAAAAGAAGGAAAGACATCCTTTGGTGATGTGCGATGATGTCCCACGATGTCCAACGACGATCTTCTTTCTTCGACTACTCAATGAATCAGCTCAAAGATTCCATAAAAATGTGAAATATATTGAAAATGAGTGTCACACACAACGACCAACTATTAAATAGAATAGCTGTCCGAAGCATGCAACAAAAAAAAAAAGGAATTTTTGAACAGATTTCATTGAAGTAGTCCTTTTTCGTCCGGGCCTAGAGCCGCGGGCGACCTTACATACTAGGTATAGACCAAGATTTAATCAAAATCAATTAACTCAAAAGTAATTGATTCCGATTATACTACCCCAGGTGCAGACTTTTCACCGGACCTATAAGCCTACCCGAAAGAGAAATGTGATCGGTCTGCTTTCCTGGCCCTTCCTACTTACATCTAAATCACACACTCCAGAAGTAAGCTACCTGCCTGCCTATCCCTATATTTAAAAAAGCAAAAATCATTCATTCCAACACACACAATCCACGGTACTCACACATAACACCTGGGTGCAAGCCTACCCTAGAGAGAACGTCCCGGGACGCCTCCGTCACCCAAGCTTGTAACACACACATTTATACTTCATGTACGTACCATTTCCTGTAATCGACTGACAACGTAGCGTATATTGCGTTATTGTTAATATAATATTAATGTATTGTGTCATATAAAACTCTTATTGGAATGTAAAATTATTTATGCTATAATGCTGACTTTGAGTCATTCTGTTCTTTATAAAACTAAGTACAGTAATAATTAGTATTTCATTGATTTAAAAAAAGAATATGGTATTCAAATGGTAAATTTTCTTCATATACTGTAAAATATTATTATGATTTTTATACATGAAATATTCTCAAACAAGTATCCATTCAATGTAATATGATTGTATGATATTATACATACAGTATGTAATATGGAAAATATTGATTAGATATGTAACATATTTATTCTGTATGTATTTATATAAACTATTTAAGTTGAATAATAAAATCGACGTACATTCCACTAATTTAAATACACACACACACACATGTGAAACGTACATCGTGCACAATACGCTAATACGTTTGTCAATCGCTGTAATATTCCTTAATTCTAAAACCGTACCCACCGCCCTTACCCACACAACGCACACCTGGGTTCGTTGATGAGCTCAGGCTAATAAGTAATGAATACGGGCAAAGAAATAATACACCTACCGTGTGAAGCTGAAAATCCTAAGCTAAAATGATCGATTAATACATAGTAAAGCTAACGGGCTAATAAACATTTTAAATTTGAAAATAAATTATTATGTAAAACAATCTTACGTTGGAACTATGTTTTCTTTGAACTGATGAGATTGAAATTGATTAGAAGAATAAAACATTAAAAAATGATTCTATTTGTAATACAAGACTCCGATTATTAAAAATTAAAATAAAAAATTGCAATTGAATTAAATAATTATTAAAATAATTAAATTGTATTTAATCATAGCTAAAGAAAAAAAAATGTGTAAAAAAAATCACTCTACTTTAATCAAAAACTTGAAGTATCTGTTAAATGGATCTGTATCTATTGGAAATGCAATTTAATAATTAATATACATGTAATACATCCTCGGTTGATTGCATGTCGAAGTAAATTGTGTAAGTTACATCAAATGTACATTCGAAAATATTACTTCGATGTTAGAATCTAACCGTCGCGAAATGTCTTCTTGCTCATAAAACATATTTAAATCAACAATATAATAATATACTGCATTGAAATATTATAGTATAATAAATGTATTGTAGCAAATGTACGTAATATTGACTGCATATAAAATATACAAATTTTGTATACATTATCAAAATTTAAGTATCTTTTAATTAAAAAAATATTTTAAAAGTTGTATTTTATTTGTGAAGTCGGAGGGTCATCCGACTTCTATCCTACAAACTATTTTTTAAAAAGAGACAAGAAGACCCTAGCCTGAACTAAGAAATACAACAATATAAAAATGAAAAAAGATATGAAAAATATGTAATATATTTCCATGAGTATTCATCCACTCATGGGTCACTATGCTCACTTAAAATAAGAATAAAATTTGTAACTTTTGGGGCTCACCGAACTGGTGAGTGGTTGTTGAGAAGTAGCTGGAAGAAAGCACCCGGCGGATGGTCTCCTAAGTAGATTGATGATGTAGACGAGTGTAGTAGGTAGGATGTTGACATACAGGCACTAGTTGATAATTCGGCAATTAGAAGAACAATAATATTACATTTGTGCCATTTTAAATTTACACAATAATTTACTGCAACTACTTAATAATAAAACTTACCTTTAATTGGACGAAGATTCATTTAATTGTTCCATTTCAGGCTTCTGATGTTTTATTCGAATGTGCTTCTGCAACAAAAAAGAACACACAACAATAATATTACATTTGTGCCATTTTAAATTTACCATAATAATTTACTGCAACTACTTAATAATAAAACTTACCTTTAATTTGACGAAGATTCATTTAATAGTTCTATATCAGGCTTTTGATGTTTTATTAGAATGTACTTCTGTAACAAAAGAAAACACATTTTTTTTTTCATATATTACATCATGTATATTCAACCAATCAATATTTAAAAAATGTCCATATCCACAAAACATAAATTTTTGCATAAATATTTTATAATTCTTTAACATTAATCAAATTTGCATGCCTATTATATTATTAAACGTGACTGTCACCGCTTGAACAATGGCTGGAATAAGTGAGACATTTGAATTTCCCGCTATAAAGTATTGAAGATTATCGACGCCATATTGAAATAAAGTCAAGATTACTTTTCTCAACTTTAAACACCAAAATATAGGAAACAAAGTAGAAAAAACATAAAATATTGATGGGATTTAAGAAATTATTGATATAAAAGCAGAATAAATGAAGGAAATGTTATTTTAATTCGTATCTTATATCGGCGTAATAGTAAAAAACGAGAAAATCAGTTATCACGATATATAACAATAAATTACGGGAAAAAAGTACTAAAAACATGAAAAAATGCAATAATATTCGAAAAATTATTGATATAAAGGAAAAACAATTCAAATTCTGCTGTTCCAAGTTCATCGTGAAATCACGGCAAGAGCAACAAATTTAACCTCACGTATTTTTGAAGAAAACGTCGAATTAGTGTCAAAAAACAAAAAGCTAAACTTCTCTTCGGCTATTCTTTCTCTTTTTTGTATTTTCAAAACTGGAAAGACAATTTAAATTAATGTTTGAAGATAATTTAATCTTACCTGTTGCAGACGCGTGGAACACGGACGAAGCTTCGAAGAGGAATGCTGTACTGCGTCACAAATCAACGCACTCGCTCACACAACGACGTGTCTGATTGGTCGAAATGAGAGGACGCCAACATGGGCCGACCAATCACAGCCGTTGATAGAAGTTTCAATACTTCGAAACTTTAATACTATTCGTAAGGGAAAAGTTCGTTAAAAATTATCAACGCCATATTGAAATAATGTCAAGATTACTTTTCTCAATTTTAAACACCAAAATATAGGAATCAAAGTAGAAAAAACATAAAATATTGATGGGATTTAAGAAATTATTGACATAAAAGCAGAATAAATGAAGGAAATGTTATTTTAATTCGTATCTTATATCGGCGTAATAGTAAAAAACGAGAAAATCAGTTATCACGATATATAACAATAAATTACGGGAAAAATGTACTAAAAACATAAAAAAATGCAATAATATTCGAAAAATTATTGATATAAAGGAAAAACAATTCAAATTTTGCTGTTCCAAGTTCATCATGAATTCACGACAAGAGCAACAAATTTAACCTCACGTATTTTTGATGAAAACGTCGAATTAGTGTCAAAAAACAAAGAGCTTAACTTCTCTTCGGCTATTCTTTCTCTTTTTTGTATTTTCAACACCCGAAAGACAATTTAATTTAATATATGAAGATAACTTGATCTCACCTGTTGTAGAAGCGTGCAAACCGGACGAAGCTTCGAAGAGGAATGCTGCATTATGATACAAGTCTGTGCACTCACCCACACAACGACGAATCTGATTGGGTGAAATGAAAGGACGCCGTATGAAACAACCAATCACAGCCATTGGTAGAAGTTTCGAAACTGTAATGCTAATTGTAATGGAAACGTTCATACAATAAATACTAGCGAAAAAATCGAATAATGTACCTTTTTAGCAACACCCGTCTTATATTATCTTTTATATTATTCTAATTATGTAATAAATAAAGGGAAATATTACTTTAATAATACTTCGCACTGCACTGATTCAACTTAAAAATATTTTATAAAGTATTATTTCAAATATGTAGAGACATTTATATATGCAATGTATTAACAAATATAATAAGAATAGGCGAAAGAAGGGAATTGAAGAATGAATGGAAATTTTAACGCGCAAATAACTAACCTTAATTAAGTTGAAAGAACTAAATCATTTTTCAGGATTTAAAGCAGTGGGTTATATCATACTACGAAACCTTAATACTAAAAACAATTAAGTAACGAATAAAGAGAAATATACATTTAATACCTGTTTTCTATTTCGTAATTCTGCCTAAACCTTGTCCAAATTCTCTCTTTTCCTTGGTTCAAGTGAGTGAAAACAATTACTGACGTTGTAGACACTCGAAATAGTAATACTAGCTTCATCTAACAGTGGATTCAGTAACGAACGTAACAGATATGATGATGCCTCATGTTCAAATAAGAACGAGGCTGTACTACCATCTATCGACAAATTTATTAAAATAAAATCATAATATAACCTGTAGGCCTGTAGGGTTCCTGAATGCACGTGTTCCTTTCAGAAAATTATTTTAAAAACAATTAATGATATTTCAGATATTAAAAACACTTACTAAAAAGGACACGTAAAAATTAGTTCAATACAAGTTCAAAATGCAACATGATGACGTAAGTTTATTGTAGCTTGTTTCTTTCAGTTAATAACATTCAATCTAATTGCAAATTTTTCTAGGTCGTCTGGAGTGTCATTAACAAGTCCTTTTGTTCTTTCAAAGTAAAGTACGTATAGTTGCTTAAAAAGTAAGATAGAAGAAATTAGCTTATTGTAATCTTATTTTATGCCTTATATTCACAGCACTAAAAGTCAAAGGTTTTGTCGCAATGAATATAATCTCACTGGTCTGTGTAGTAGGGCATCTTGTCCTCTTGCAAATAGCCAGTATGCCACAATTAGGGAAGAAAATGGTATTATTTATCTGTACATGAGAACAGCTGAAAGGTAGAAGTTATAAGTCTAAATGATAACTTTATTAATCACTGGCAATAAAGCTGTTACTGTATAATTATCATTATTTCTTTTAGAATACATTTCCCAAAAAATGCATGGGAAAAGGTAAAGCTTTCCAGAAATTTTGAGAAGGCTATACAACAGATTAATGAAAATTTATTGTATTGGCCTGGTTTCATAAAAGCAAAATGTAAGCAAAGGTTTGTTAAGATCACACAGTATCTGATACGTATGAGAAAGCTGAGGTTGAGGAGACAGAAACAAATTGTACCAATTCAAAGAAAAATTGAAAGACGAGAACGGCGTAGAGAGGAGAAGGCTCTTGTTGCTGCTAAATTAGAAACAGCAATAGAAAAGCAACTTATGGAGAGATTGAAACAAGGCATGGTATGAATCCTTAGAATCACAACTACAAATGTTAATACTTCCTTGATGCTATGAAGATACTTTTTTTTCTAGTACAACGATATTTATAATTTCCCACAAAAAGTATTTGATAAAGCAGTGGAAGCTGTTGAGGTTGAAGGTGAAAGTGAAGCTGAAAGTGAAGAGGAAGAGATAGAAATTGAGAAGGAGGTAGAAATGGAATTAGAAGCAGATGAAAGAGAGAAAGAAACAAATGAACCACATTATATAGAAGCAGAAACGGACGACGAAGACGATGAAGATGATTTTGATATTGAAGAAGTGCCCATGGTAATCATTTAAACAAATTATAGTTTTCTTACATACTACTAATTGTTATCCCTTTTTTAATAGGAAGAAGATAGTGATTCGGGGCAGAAAGAAAAAGTTGAATTATCTGACGATTTCGAATCTGAAGCAAGTGATATTGAGGTAATAAATACTACCATTATATTTGTTGTTATTCAAAGTAAATTGTACTTAAACTTAGTGTACCATTGTAGGATATAGTTTCTACCAGTAAAAAAGCAAAACGTCCGATTGTTAAAAAAGGCAAAGTGCAAAAGAGACCACGCCCGAGAGTTGAAATTGAATATGAAGTGGAGGAAGAAGCGCAAGAAAGAGAACGAGCATAATGTGTGTCTAATTAGAACAATTATAATTGTATTTCTAATAAAGTTGAAACCAATTTTGTAATTTTAAAATTGCTATCCTCACATCACTAGAATTTATGCTATAATCATATAATATTTATTTTATATTTAATCGTTTCCTTTATGGAGAGAGAAAGAGTTTAAAAGTGGCGCTAGCATAAAATACTTGACAAATATATGTATAATTTGTAGATGGCATCTCTTCAAACCAGAAATTCACATACTAGCAGACGACACGCTTGTATACAAGGAACAAGGTAAATTTTCTCGATTTTTCCTAAGGAGATCCTAAATGAACATGAATGAACTATTTGTTATGGAATACGTAATAATTTTTGTAATTTGTGATTGATTCAAATTTATGACATTCCATGGAAACTTCAGCAGTAATAGAACAGTAAAACTTCAGTTATTATTCGTAGATTGTATGTACTGTTTATATTTCAGCTAATGACTCGTGAACGTATCTATTCTTTCGAACGAGTAATTATAATTGAGATCCCAACTATACTTGTTAAATAAATTAACAGTTACGTTGTTAAACACGTAATCGATACATTGTTTTATAGATATTAGCGCCTAAACGTATATAATTTCTTTTATACTCTATGTAAAATAAGAGAAGATCGCTTGAGATAAGTCAATGTACAGTGTTCTCGCATTGAGTTCATTTTTCTATTTTGTATAGATTCCAGTTTTTGTTACATATTTTATCCGAAAATATTGAATTTCACAATTCATTGTTTCTAGCCAAATGTCATGAACTCTACATTACCCGTGACAGTGCTTTTTGTTTGCTATAAATAGAAAAAGTAGGTTATCTGTAAAATCAATTCCGAAAATAGAGCAATTAACCGTAAATGTTTATCGTTTAGAATCCGCAAATTTAAGACAAAAATGTATTTTATTTGTAATATTTTTTACTTACCCTTAACCATGGTTACTTCTGATTTCATAAATTATTTAATCTAACATATAGCCTTAAGAATTTTATTCGAATTTAATCAAATATATAAATATACTATAACTACAAGTAAACTTCGTTGTAATAAAATTTTAATTATTGTTACATATCTTACTGTTAAATATTATATGATAGTCAATGACAGTATTATCATATCACTAACATAACATTTATTTATTGTTGCAGGCATATTATGATATTTAAAAAAGTATTTGGAACTATTAATCAAGATTAAGATGAAGCATGACTCTAATGTAGATTGATTTGGACCTCTAATCTTCCTGGACTTATTTCTCATTTTGTGCTTAATGCTAAGATATTAAATAATATCACTATGGAGCAGAATAATATAGGAAATATTAAAAGTTCAATATATGTAGCAATTTCATTTAAAAAATTATGTTTGGCAACAGTGTCTTTGCCTCTTGTTACCCTTTTAGTCTGTTTCATTACAGCATATATTTTCCAACAAGATGAAATTCATGAAACACATTGCAGGGTATAAATTCTTAAGTAGTTGATGTCAGAAGCTATCATAAATTATAGTATTATGTACATTTAATAAATAACAAATTTCTTTGATCTAGGTTTACAATGTACTTCCATCAATCTCAGCTATTACTGGTGTATCTCCACAGAGATACTTGTGGCGTATAAGCATAGCATTACACATTGGTCCCCGTTTAATTATTGCCAGTGTTTATCACTCATATTATTATCAAATGCTTAAAACGATTGAAGATGTACCTTTAAGGATTACAGGATGTAGACTTCTTAATTTATGCTACTGGTTAAATATTGCAGAGGTAGCAGCCTTGTGTGGTGTTACATACATCTCAAACAAAGAAAATTATTGTAAGTGAAATTTAGAGATAATTTTACATTATACACTTGGTAGCATGTAGCAATGGATTTATAATATATCAATTTATATATTATTTTTCAGCTGTACATGAAAAGATCTTTATTGCTTTCATGATTAGCTCTCTTACATATATGTTAATGGTAATAAGGTTGAGTCGTCTTGTCACACCAAATGCACAAAGCCTTTGGTACAAACAGACACTTTTTGTAACAAGTCTTATTAGTACTATTGGACTCATTGTTTTCTTCTTAAAACACAGACTACTGTGCCACGATTTGGGTAAGAAAATTCATATAATTTTATAAAACTTCATAAAATTTCACGCGTAACGTGAAATTTATAAACTTTCTTTCTAACAGCATTTAGTTGGTTTTCCTTATGCGAGTACGTGATTGCCTCTGCAAATATGGGTTTTCACGTTACCGTAGTTCTAGACTTTCCCATGGAGCAGCTGGTTGTTGGGAATGGTTTACCTGCCTTAAAGGCAGATTAACTTATAATATTTTATACTTAACATTAACGTATTATTGTCATCAAAAGTGCCTACTGCCACTGTCTGGAAGTGCTATTGCCAAAAGTAAAAAATATATTACACTATGCTGGGTATCCACTGGCATAAACTTGGCAAACATTTCTTAATGAAAACACGCATATATTGAATGAAATCAAAACATTTATCAATAATTGTTACTGTTTTAGGTGCATAATAATGATGGTGATAATATTACATAAACAAAATTAAGAATTGATAGATTTTATCATAGGATTTTCATGATTTTATCATTTTATGATCGTGTAAACACGTTACTTTTGAGTTTTTGTCCGATACAGGAATATTACGGTTTAAAATTTTTCTCTCTTTCTTCTTTTCTTTTTATTAAGATAGATTTATTTAGAATATTTATTATGTTTACTTAATATAATATTAAATACTAAACCTCGACGAATATTTACATGCATCGTAAATACTTAATTTTACTAGAAAATTTGGAAGCAGAGTATTTAGAAATGTTTTACATGTTGAGTGGATACACGGTTTACTACTCATTATATTTAATTTTGACGAGGTAGTGTCATCAGAAACTACTTTTAAGCTACGAGTGATTTCTGAACTTAGCATTTCCTTTTAAATATAGACGATTTTTAGTTAAAGATACATCTATTACTGGTTAAAAGTAAAAAGAAAAAGAACTATTCTTTAAATCTAGCGCTTCCAAAGTATGGCACTGGTATCTTCCAAGGCAATGAAAAATCTTCAATGGCCTTTTAGGTAGCGAATACTCATAGTAATACCAAATAAATATGTATCCTACATACATACAATAATGAAACATTAAACAGTCCAAAATAATTAAATTACATATTGAAATGACAAGTTTCAATATGTGCACATGGTTGATTTGAAGAAAAAAAGAAAAAAAAAAGAAATAAGGAGTATTATAGGAGGACTTGTTAATAGTTTTAAATCTGCTTTCATAGGTTATCCTTTTTCCGAAGTGAGATTTCTAGTCGATAATTAAATCTAGTCTACATTTTTTATCTGTTTTTCAAGCGTCTTTATGCCATGTTATACATCATGGATTGCGACGCATTGTTAGAATGTAGGATGCATTTGTATTAACATGTCTTTCGTCTTTAATGTAGGTACGTTCATCAAATGAGTGTACTCAATTTTAATTTAAGATGCAGTAGAAATGTTATTTATCATTGTACAGCTGTATATCATCGATCTATTTTACCGCGCGTAAGCGTACGCGAATATTATGTAAAGAAAAAAGAAAGAGAAAAAAGAGGTAAACAAGAATAATACTACCATAACAGTGGAAGTAACTTACTTGATATTCATGAAACTTTGGTCACGGCAATATTATTTTAGGAATATAAGAATTAATACCAATATTTGTGATCTTTCATGTAACACGATTATTAACAAATGATTGGCATTTTAAATAACTCCAATGGAAATAGGCAATTGTATAATATACAATATTTCTTGACCAAAACACAAATAACGTCCAAAGTTATGGAACAAATTAACGAAATTAATTCGAATAACTGTTTGTATGAAATTTTATAATCGAGAATCTCACCTTCCTTTCCACGAAGAATATTAAGTAAATAAGAGAAAGCTTGTGATAAAAACTACATTATTGTAGATGTTGAAAAATCAGCCGTATAAACTCGGACGAATTTGTATAATATGTAAAGACCCGGAATGGATACATAGCGTTACCAATGATATATTACATTATAACGTTCCTTGTACATTTTCTTTGAAACGTAACTAGTAATAATTAGATTTACACGACACACTGATATTTTTTTAATTTTCGATCGTTCGATTATTGACCATCAATATGATTGTGTACATGGTATTCCACTAAATATTTAAGCGACAGTACTTTTTTTACAATTGAAATACAGAAAATTATTGTCGAACCAGATACAACAAAGATAAGTGATGTACAGTGAAACAAAGCAACATATCTTGATGGTTCCCATTGTAAGACGAGCAGGTGTTCCTGCTCGTTTTATTTATCCGTGCCAAGTGATATATTAAAGATACTATAAACGTATCATTGATGCCATGTAAATTAAAATCCACTTACAAAATACCTTTAATAAATCACTTAACACTGAAACGGCTTAGATGATTAATTTTCTTTTTGTTTTAATTAATTGTTTAAGTATAACTGTATATTACTCGATCATAAATCAAACACACACGTGCACTGTTAAAATATTATACTGTTGGTATAAGAAACTAACAAGAATAATTTATTCGACTTAATGTAATGTAAGTAGATAAGAAGCTTTGGTAGATTGTTGAAGTACTTTAATCAACATACGTAAAATGACAACCTTTGAAAATTTCATTGTTATCATAAATTAGAGATTGAAATCTATGCTTATAGTGTAAGTATAGTTTTTCGATGCAGAAGCGCGTTGTATTGTAGCTTGAATGATTTTCAAACAATCTATCAAAGATTTTTATAACAAGTATTTCACAGTTTGACAGTACCACTGAGGGTTGATACGAATGTACCAAAGTGGTAATCACAAGTTTCTCTAATTTTAATCAAAATATACGTTAAATGTATTACGGTTAAACAAACTTCTGGTTACCATCTGATGTGTTACACAACATTGTATGCTACTGTTGTCCGTTTCGATAATTGAGCTTGTAAATGACGAATAGATGTTAACACACGGTTTATGTAAAGTATCGTATCGGTGCCAGAACACAATTTGTTGTTGAGGTGTTACTTGGAACGACCTTGACATGTGTCAGAATCTTTATTTAATTGATGTCGGCCAGTTGGCACGATAACACTGTCACGAATTAGGCTGAACGTCTCCTGCTGCTTGTTTGAGCAGAGGTTCACATTAATGTAAAGTAGTACAGAGCAGGTTCTGTAACGGAATTAAAATACTGCTCTGATTGTAACATAAGTATCGAGCTCTTTTGCACTTTGCTCCTTCTCACTCTTGGTAAATTAGAGGAAATATGCACACGTTAAATTATGAACAGTAACTGAAAGAAAAAAAAAAAAAGAAAAAGAAAAAAAGACTCGATAAATAAGTTGCATGCGTTTTAGTACATCTTTGAGAACAGCTATTTTCTCTATCGCAGAATCTCGTCTTTAATAAGAATCGAACATCACAGCATGAAAGTGATTAACGAAAGAAATTATTGTGTTATTGTTACTAGAATGTTATTTGTATTACTTTTTCTAGAGTAGTGGCTCGATTGTGAGTCGACATTTTATGTAAACGTTATCTACTTGCAAAGTATATTTTTTTGTGAAGAGCTTCAATTTTTAGCTAATTAGCAATAATAATGAGATAACATATCGATTCGCACGATAACGGTAAAGATGTTTTGTTGTTATGTAAAATGCGTTTCTTGATTTGCAATCTTGAGAATCGTTATGCTGTTTTAACAAAATAGCTTTTTTTTTCCCTTGATACTCAGATCTTTTAGTTTTAGACGATCGATAGTTCTGTGATAATCGGCACAAATAGCTGTCTTACGATAGTGTTTTTGTGTTTGTAATGTAGCGTAAAAGGTATACGCTGTAGCTGAAAAGTCTTAGGACACCTCGTCGTGTTTACAAAATAAAGTTTCAATTGAAAGTAAAGATCGAGAGCGATTTCGCTGAAGAAATACTCGATTTCAATATTTTGGTCGAGTGGTCGACTCTGTGCTTCCATTATTATATCAAATATTGAAGTTTTAACGTAGTTCAACTTAAGATATGCCTAGATAATATTTGAATTTTTATTTATTCACTTTCCTCAAGTAGTTTCTGTGAAACTCAGTGTCCTAAGAATTTTGAGCGATAATGTACACGTACTGTTTTCTATAGGGTACCTAATTAAACTAATCTAATTAAAAGATAGCAATAATTTAGTTGTTTATGTTTCAATACTCGTATCCAGTGTTTAGATGATACTTATTTTTTATTTATGTAAGTAAAATTCGCTCCGGTCCAAGGTAACTTGGCTTAAAAATAAAGTATCCAGTTTGTAAAACTTCGCGATCAAGTATAACGATAGTTAATTATATTTACTTTAAAATATTGTAAATTGGTAAATGTAGTGTCGAAGAGAGATAAATTGACGATGAAGCACAGATGATGTATGTTGAATGATTTTACGTTTCTTCAAACTTACAAATAATTCTAGTTAAATAGTGAAGAAAATTGTACGCTTTTGTTTTTCTTTCGCAAAGATGGTATATTTATTGTTTTCTGTGTTGAATTCATTTTTATTCTTTTCCTTTTAGAGAGCCACAAGATACAGATCAATTATATCCAAAGTTTCTCTAAACTTATATAAAACCTTTTCGTTGTGTAACGAATCCAATTCGATTTGTGTTTTTCTTTTGTCCCTCGAAAGGACGATCTTAAATCTTTAATTTTCTATTATCTCACGTGCATAGTTGATCTTCATGAGATCAATTAGAGCGAAAGTGATCGAGCATCGAGCCTGGCTAAAAGTTCGGCATGGCCGCCGAAGGTAATTGAACTCTGTTGACCTTAATACAGAAAACGAACGAGCAAACGAAATGAATCGTGCGACAATGACAGAGACTTCTAACTACCTATATCACCAAAATAGAGATCTTCAACGTTTTATCTTTCTTATTTTAGTTTTTCAAAAGACCGAGCTTCCTTTGATGGAATTAACGTAACGAGCGTAAGCATTGTCCGTAATCGGCTTAATAGTTGGTCGACGAAACGCGTGAAATTATGATAATTACCATCGAAGGGAGGATTGTAATGAAAATTTCAATTTTCCTTGAATATTCTTTAAAATCAAATAAATTTTCAGTCTTTTGTATCTTCTTCTTGATACGTTCTGTCTTGCACATGTAACAGAATAATTAATCAATAAACTATACCCTTACTTAATCAATAAACAACGACAGTAACGTGTTTCCAATTTATTTATCAATATTATTACAGCCCATTTGACCCTTTGAATGAAAGGCAATTCTTGGAAAATAAAAAATCAATATTTAGAAATAAAAAAATCTATGATTATTTAATTACAGAACGGGTTACCGAAAGTTTCGATCCGATTCGTTTTCTCAACTGACTCGAGGGTACATTCCTCGACATCTTTTGGGTCATAAGGGGTTTTGCATTCAATGTATCTTCTACATTGCAATCTACAAACGTATTAACACGTATCGTCAGAAAAATAGACACCATTAACGCTCTGATTGCAACGTCAGCCATATTTCAGCGACACGTGAATATTAATAAAATCAGCTATTTTATGGGGGCGGTAAATACGAACTAAATTTATGAAAAATAATATTCTGTTTTGCTGAAATTTTCAGCGTCTCTTTTTGTACAGTTCATAGTGTTTATAGTGACATATTTACCCATCAAAGTTTGAACAGCGACAGTCGTTTCATTTTTCGAATGACCGCCGTTCAATTTCTCCAACGTGTCTTCTTTAACAGAAACTTCTTCAAGTTTATTGGTGTCGTTGAATGGACAAGTTCTCTTTAGTTTCTCTTCATCGAAAGTACCGGGAGAAAAGATTGAAGTGTTTATACATTTTCTACATCTCCACACGATTCTAGGGTCATAAACGTCGACGTCGACGACAGGAGGCTGATGGCACAGAGGATGATACACTTCTTGACACTCTTGACACTCGAGCAGAATCAAGGGTCCTAATTTTGCTCCATTACAGACCTGTCCTCGGACCGGGCAACACGTCAAATTATATTTTTATATACAAAAATAAACCTAAATATTATAGCAAAAATACTATGGCACTTTAATTAAATTATTCATATCCTTAACAATCATTACGACCATGTGCCTCGACAGTCAAACAATATATTAATTAATAAAGTTTAGCAATAACACATTAATTAAGACCTTGCATAGAAGTCCATCTCCGGAGCCCTCATCAGGAATAGATATCCTTGGGATGTCCCCTTTCTCGCTGTAGTCCTCAAAATCTGCATCGAACACTTTTATACTCCCCCAATTACTATCTGTTGAATTATTTGCAACAGACAGATCGATAGCTCTCTGAGGGGTACTTCCTGTCCTACAGGACGCGACATCCTCGCGATTCTCGGATTTACCAGAGATTTTCGTGCTACGAAGAAATTTCTTTGGCAGTCTGGCCATCAAAGTTTTCTCAAAACCATATTTCCTTTCTAAAATCACGTCCAACATTTTCCGAAGTTTCTCCGTGCTATTATCCTCCGTCGAATGCAGCAAAGCCAACGCGTTGAAGAAGTCCTCGTGAATGTCCGACGCATCCTCCGTGTCTTCGTACATCGTGCAGAGAATTTCTTTCCGAATGCAAACGAGAGCTTTTAGATAAACAAACAGTAACGACAGAAGTATGAACGTCCATTATAAGATCGATCTTCTTGCGATCGTATTATGTATCGATAGAATTTTGTCGACGTAAATGAGTATCGATCTGGTGATTCACAATCGAAGGCTGATAGAAGATATCAAGCTTGATGTAAGAAAAATCGAAAGGAATGAACGTAGTTTAAAAAGCGGTCAATTATGGACAGCAAGGGGTTGTTCTCGCGCTGCAAGCACGGTAGCAGAATCGAGAGGAATCCAGCTGAGAAGCCGGGCCCGGTAGACGTCGAACAAGTAGGATTATTCGATGGTGGATCGAGGCTGAAGCTGGGACAGAGGGGTCGGGGTCGAGACCGGGGAACAATGTCGGAAACGAGGAGGACGGTATGCCGAGATATGCAGGATATCGCGCAGAACTGCGATCCTTCGAGATCGGTGCAGAGGCAGGGTTATAGAGCGGTGGTGCGCGAGCGAGTAAAGCTAGATACATATCCTCCTGCACCACCACCAACACCCTCGTCATCCCGACAGCAACAGAGCGAGAGAGAGAGACAGGAAATACGTCTAAGTGTATTATCTGCGAGAGCGAGCACCGTTCCACCTAAATATGTAATAATATCTACCGGAGATACCAGCATTCCTCGACCTCGAGAAGAATTCGATCAAAATGTGTCGCGATACTCTCACGGTATGCCAGGTGAGGTACGCGTCTCTCCGTGCTACCCTTGCGCCTTCCTACGTCTTCGTCCTGTGCCATCCCCTTCAGCCCCTCTGCGCTCCACGTTTGTTCGAACGGGATCAGATGCGGTATCGGTATTTCCATGTTTCATGTCTTTACGCGACGGAACACCCTTGTTGAGACTTCGACCCGTCTCGATCGGTCTCGCCGAATATTCTTTTCAACGATTTGCAATTCTCTTCAACCCCTTCGATACCAAGGAGTTCGCTGACAAATTATTGCAGAATGCAATTCAGACATTCGGTAATATTTCGGACATTATAATTCAAGGATGTATATTACCATTTATTTGATATTTCATTTGTACTCGAAATAACTATGAAATAAAGAAATGTCTTTTCCTCGTTCCTCTATTAAATTGTTTACAAAAACGTTTAACGTAGAAAAGATTCTATCCTTCGAAAGGTATGCTAAAAAAGAAAGTGATGTTTCACGAAACCACCCCTATTCTATAGAGGATAGGAGAATGCGCTATTCACGCGATATTTTAATACTTTTGTAGCTTGTCGCTGGAGCAAGTAAATCTCAGCCGTGATAAGCCCTGCCAGGAATCCCACCCCCGCAAAATATCCGCCGGTTATAAGAAATGTTTTCAAAGTTTATGAGGTGATGCGAAGGTTCGCCGTCGGATGGATCGAACGCTTTCACCCCTTTTTTTAAAATAACAGAATCGATGGGAAGGAGGCGGAAGGAAGCGTCGTAAAAATCGCAATAAAAATACCCCCTGGCAAAATAGTTGCTCGAATAATACGAATAAAAATTGCTACCGTTCGATATTGTGGATTATAAATTGTGGAACGTATGGATACTTGCTGGAATGTTGCAATAGGTATAAAAGGTCATGATTTAGGCAATAATTTGACCCTAGGTTTGTTCTATGAACGCGATATCCGAATACAATTTCACCATTGTGTTGGGGGTTACAATTTCGAGCTAGAACTGGAATTGGCTGTAGCGTAGTTTCAAACAATGTTGGAACAATGGATGTAACTTCTGAAATGATCATTTCCCGTCTGCCCTAGTTTGCACTTAATGATATTACGATGTAATATGTTTTTACGATTAATTTATATCCTTGCCGTTATCAAAAGTTTCTTAATGAATTGGGCTATGCACCAATAAATAATTAATTTTTCCAGCTAACCAGCGAAAAATAATAAAAACTGTAGATACTATTGCAAGTAAGATAGAATTAATTATAAAGTTAGATTAAAATTGTGCACCGATTTCCTAGTTAAGAAGGTTCTATATAACAAAGATTTGATGAGGTAGCAAATTTTTTGCAATGGTCAGCTGTAATCTACCGTCCATGTCGATGAACTTGTAACTTTAATATTGAAATTGAAACGCTATAACATTCATTGTTTTCTTTTTTTTTTCCATAACCTGCATTTTTTTTTAAATCTTACGAAACTTTTATAATATTCTAATTTCAATCTGTCGAAAAAAGAAAAACCGATTTTTACTCTGATTGATTGTTTGCTGTAACTGACAACCAGCCAAACCTAACTCAGCCATTTTGTACACAAATGATTGATGATAGGTATATAGTTATTTTTACAAGAATTTAAGCAACATCTGACGTGACACCTTTATGTCATTAAATCATGCATAAACTGTTCGTGTCCGACTAATAATACTACGAATTTTGGCTGGGCATCCTGATCGCAATTATTCATACATTAATTTGTTAACCGTTGATTGCCAATATATGAACTAATTAAATATTTTATTTGAAATTTCTATTTTTCCAATCATCAATATCTAATTGAAACGTTTGATGTATCGAATATTAAAATGGAATGTCGCATAATTAAAAATGAATTGGCAGATGTATTAGCTTCCGCTTTGAAATGGAAAAAAGTAGCTGTATAATCGCGCGGTCATATTTTAATCGGGGATGAAGAGTATGCGCGAAATTTCCATGAAACTAACGGAATCATTTAACCCGCGTGGTTCGTCGACACGTCACGAAAATCGAGCGTTAACGTAATTAGGCAATTAAAGCTCGCGGGTGAAATCGGACCGTGCCTTTCCCCTTTCAATCTGTCGCGCTTGCTGAAAACCCGCACGAAAACTGCGCGTTTCAACCCCCGCTGCCGGCGACGGTGGAGGCGACGGTTCTGTCACCCTGATCGTTTCGCTACTTTGCGGCTGTTCGTAAACATTTGTCGAGTACAATGTGCTCAACTGACAAAAGGAGCTTAGCAGTATAACGTGCGAGTTTAAAAGCGTTATTTACGACCCCTTTTGTCGATGTACGCAGGATATGCTTTCGTAACGTCACATTTCATTTCGCGCGAGTTTAATTATATTTGAACCAGATGCTAAAGTTATTTACATAAGATTATTTGAACTTATTTCTGTTCTATATTATTTTGTTAGACAAATTAACATTATTAATATTATGAAATGTATTATCAATATTTATTCGGTATACGTAAACGACATAATTTTGAATCAGCTTCTGGAAATTCTAATACAACGCTTAAAATACCACTAACGATGTTGGGGAAGGCGTAAAGTTATAGTGAATGGTCTTAAATAAAATGACCAAACCGCAGGTATAAAAGAGAAACGTGCGGAAAGGTATCGAGGGTGAAAGATCATATTTCAAAGAATGAACGTCAGTCTTATGCTAGTGCACTTGCACTGGGTCAGTTATGTTTTGTTACCGTCGGCTAATCCCCTAAATCCGTACACAAACGGTCAGTTTGCTAGCTAGTGAAAACGGTAGACATAGACTAATTTATAAAGCAAGCTTTGGACGTTCGAGCAAATATAAATAAGAGAATTATAGGGATAAATTCATATTTTGAACGTTAAATTAAAATAATAAGAAGTTACGATATAGGTGATATCGGTTCGCGTGGAAGAGAATTTTGCGGTCAGTCGGTTGATATGTAACGATATATCAAAAGTTTCATTCAAAAAACCTAAAACGTAACCCCTGAAATTCAACAAGTGCCCCCTCTAAGTTGAGCGAGAGAGAATAAACGAGTAAGCGAGCAACAACACCCAATCTCTCTTACGTGCGTGACGCGACTGATCTCCCGCGCGGGGAGTGGGGAGACGATGGTCCGGTACGATGTGGTGGGGGTTGATGATCAGTGTCGTTCGACGAAGTTCGCGTACACTCGGTCGCGCTCGGCTTCTGGTTTCTCCCGCGGCCGCATAAGCGGTGTCAGCGGGTGCGCAGACCGGCTGCGCAGCAGGCGTGTGCGTTATCCAGATTCTTTGTGCCATTCCTGGCATACCAAAAACAAGAGTGGTGACTGCGCTCGTATTTACCGGGGTGCAGTCTTGCGCGCTAATATTACTGTGCGAATTTTACCCGTGGTGTAAAGGCCCCGCGCGCGCGCGACGCCACGTCAGCTCGCCCAGTGGTAAGTACATTAAAGAAAACAGTGTCGAAATGTCCTCGAAAGAGCGCGTCTACTCGTCCACGCCCGTGTGTCCCAGCGGCGTCGTCCCACACAGGCGCCGCGCACGGAACGGATTCGACAGTAGCGACGACGGCGATATACACACCGTCAGCCACGGACAGACCGACAGACGGACAGACGAACGAAAGAGAGCGACAGCCAGAGGAAGCGATAGACAGTGTGCGAAAGAAAGAGACGAACGTGCAAACGAAACCAACCGTGCGATAAAGGCAAATATTTATGTACGAGGAAGTGCGTGAACGTGCATGTAAACTCCGCGTTCGACGTATTCCCCGTATATTCCTCGTGTGTCGTGATTGTCAGGTTCATACTTCCGGTGACCGTGATGTTCGCATTGCTGGCCCCGTGTTGCTGCTAGTGGTGTTATTTCTCTCTGTTACTTAGAAAGAGAAAGAGATAGGTAGAGGGAGCGTGTATGTGCGAGCGAGAGTGTAAGAGAAAGAATAGGAGTAAGAGAGAATGATTGGTAGTAGAGGGAGATAGAATGAGAGAGAGAGCAAGGTATAGAGTGAGAGAGAGGGAGATAAAATGATAATCGGATCGGTTTGATAAACGGAGAGGTTCAAGTCGTACCGGTGTCTCTGTCGTATCGTAGCGTGCGGTTTGGAGCAGCATCGGTGTATCCGTCTTTGTCCAATCGTCGCGTGTTTACGAGCGGTTGTGTCAGCTGTGTGTCAAGAGAACGCAAGCTCCGTGTCTATGTGTTACGAAGTGTGTGCAGTCTCTCTGGCAACGTGTACGGCTCGACAACACGGACTCGTCGAGGAGGTTAGGACGAAGCGCGATCGTGGTGCCGGTGGTGGTGGGCTGCGTGCGTTTCCCCGAGAAGAGCGCGCCACGACAGAAACGTGTGCCTCTGCCTAGTGTCTGCGTGCCAGCCCGCTCGCTCAGCCGCTTCTGGTGAATTCGTATGGTGAATTATTGATCCGCGGCGGCGTGTGCGTGCGGAAAAACCGCGCGAGAGTATAAGAATCGTATTTAACCGGGGGTAGAAAGAACGTGTCGTACAGGAGCTATAGAAAACGTTGGAAAGATAGTACCGGCTGGTTGTGTATATACCGGTGCGGTGTCTTGTTTTGAAAACTGTGCGCGCGCGAAAACGCACTCCCGCGACATACGTACACATACATATATCGCATAGTTTCTACGAGTCAGGAGGTGGAGCAGTGGTGGTGGCAGCGACGGATTTTCTTTCCCCTAGGCGGGACCAAGCGAAGTGTTCGCACATATTCCATTGCTCCCAACGTAACGTGCGTCTACGTGTCTTTCTCCTTTCCTGTCATTCTCCCTGTCTCTCCCTCTCTTCTCGTCTCCTTCTTTCTCTCGCTCTATCTCTCTTTCTCTATCCCTCTCGTCCGTTTCCCCGCTCTTTGTCCACGTTGTCGCGTGTTATACGTGTGTGCGTTTCTCTCCGTCTCGCTCTGTCTGCGTTACCTTCGCCGCGTGTGCGTCAAACGAAACTAAACGCGGGAAAAGCTCGGGCGCGAAAATATATCCATATTCCAGGGGGAATGTAGACGGTGGTTATCGGGTAACGCGGAGCGTTTTTCGATTCTCGCCCGTGTGAGTGCCCAGTGCTGAGAGATTACGGTTTACGGATATTTTGACGAGACCAGAAGCCCCGAGCGAAAGTGTTGTCGTCGTCGTAAGACGACGGCGACGACGAATCACAACAACGACAACCACCACGATAATACGTTCAAGGAACTCGAACGCGACGCTGTAGCTTTGTCGCGCTCTTTACTCGCGTCTTGATAATCCAGGACAAGCGAACCTTACCTCCACCACCGCGACTTGGATGGATACTGTGCATTATTTCTGGAGTGAGTTTCTCTTTTAATCGTGTGCTTGTGGTACTCTACGTACGCTTGCATGTTTACCGCCTACGTCCTATGTGTACACACGCGACGTGTGTATACGCGACAACGAGTCTCTTGTAACACGCGGTACCGCACGGTTGGTTTTTTCGTCTTCTCCCGCGACTCGACGCTACCGCCGTCGGGACGCACGTTGCCTTCCGTCCAAACGATTTATCCTTAAGAATTTATTTCAACGAAACATGTTACATTTGATCGAAAGTAAACGCTAAAATAATTTACTCGTTTCTTTACCATCGCGACTTACAAAAACAAGATATGTAAAAACGAACACGAAACCTTCTTAGAACTGTTTATACATGCAACCACGTGATGGTTTATTTCAACAGAAACATAGCTACGCTCGCCCGTACCCGTCTGAAAAATATTGTCCGGTGACAATGACTTTAATACAATGACGTTATCACAGTAGGTTATCAAAAGTAATCCCGGTGTAACATGGTAACATACCGTTACATAAATTTAATCAGATACTTGTCTTGTTATCGTACCCGGTAAGCGGTACCAGGTACGCTGTTTAGAAAAGATTCTTGCCGTCGATTGCGCATTTCGGCTCGATTTCTTCGTCAGACTCTCCTATCATCGTCACTGTTCGTATTTCAATTAGAAACTAATCGAGCGTAACGTTCCAATAGTACTTTATTGCATCTGTGAACACACGGTTGTATCGTGGATAGTTTTTGTTATTGTATTCGACTTGTACGAAGAAATAACTGTTTGCGTCGAATATGAGTACACACGGTGTGCGATAATTCTTTCGAACGGTGTTAATGATGTTTCTGTTTAATTTTTTAAACGATTCCTTATTTACAAATTGAGCGTTGTAATCAGGTATGTAAGAAAATCTAGTACTCTTTGGATGATCTTGTACGTCTCGGTACATCTCGGTGAATTACTATCGAGAAGAAGGGTTAATCGAGCGACGGTACTCGTTGAAAGTCAAACGAGGTTCAAAGATACTCATCGAGGTTTCAACTGGTTGGATAAAATCTGTGATACGAAGAGAGGGGAAAGGATCTCGGTTAAGGTGCAGCAGGTGCGAGGTGCGTTCCTTCGAGGCTGTTCCGCCCTCCGCCTTCCTGTCAGCTCGTTTTTCTTTCCAAGAGCAAAACGGTTGACGAACCGCGGAACCGGTAGCACGTAATCGGTAATCGATCAATTCGGTATTCATATCACCTTCGCTGAACTCGTACGCGCACTTTCTACGACCGATATCGGCCTCTCTTATCTTACCATCTTATCGGTTTGTCAAATATTGGAATTCGGTTAACATTCCATCTTCTTCTTCTGTTCGCTAACTGTTTTGCACCTGTTTCATGACTCATCCTGGGAATTCCCCTAAGTATCTTTTTTCGATAGATAAACATGAGAATTTAGGTATTAAATGGTATACATTTTTGTTTTTCAAATTAAAACGAATATAGTTTGATTAAAATTGACGAGGGCTATTGATCTGTGAAGCATCCATTTATTTTGGAGCAGCTATCTGCTTTCGGAACTCCAATGTAGGCAAGTGTTTTATTCACTGAAAACTTGATCAATTCCTAATAGCATTCCATCATGAATGGAAATTTCATCGAGTTGGGGGTGTTTGTGTACGATGAATTGTTTGGTTAATTTAAGAGCAAACGGCCCGTTTGTTCGCGGTATATCGTGCGTACAGTTGGGTTTTCATAGCCGTATATTCGATTCCCTTTTGTTTAACGGTGGGACGATCGTGTCTTAGCACCGGTGACAGCAGAGCTAGACTCATTAAGCCGAAGCTTCTTCGCGATATAAATAGGCCTTCTTGTCCCGTTGCACCACGGAAGGAGCAAATAGATTATCTCCACTCTCTTCTTTCCCTTTCTGCTTCTCTCGTTCGGCTGCTCTCCGGCTAAGCTGGTACAGTACTCTTCCGAGCAGCCACGCGCGTGGCTTTCTATTTGGTGTAGACGGTGCCAAATTGTCAAGCAACTAAAATTACCTTCGAAGGTGTACGCGTGTCTTTCTCTTTTCCCTTCTTGACGTCTTCCTCTAGAGTTACCGCTTGCTTGCTTCTTTTTACCCTTTCTTTTTCTCTATCCCTACTGGTAGCTCGCTCCCGGAATGGTAACGTCCGAACGGCACGAATTCGACCAGGATTTTCATAAGATTTCGTTGTAAAACAAAGAGAAACAAGGTGGAAATGTGAAATTTTTCAGTAGATTTTATATTCCAAGAATAATATCCACAAATTGTGCAAAAAAATGTAGAATTTTTTAACGAAAGAGTGCAAGAAAGAATTAAATTAAAATTGGGGTTCTCTCCATGGTCCGCCGTCCAAGAGTTAATTACTTCATACGCAAATCTGCTTCCCCTAACTAAAACGGCCTCTTCCAGTAATTTTAATAAAATCTATACAAAAGGTAGTCATTCCTAGATCGATTTGCAAAAGGTCGAACGTCAACTCGCAAGATTTTATAGGCTCGAACCGGTGTAACCGGCTGCTCGAATCGAACACCAATTTAAATTGCTGTCCTTAGAATTTGAATGACGAAAGTATGAACAATGAATATCCACAAGTTACAATTGATATTTTTACAACACCCTATGTACAATTACCTTTTCAACCGGTACCGTGAAAAGTTTAGCAATAGATAGAACACCTGTTGATGGAAGAAGAAAATGAACCTTCAGATAGCATAAATATTTGAATAGCATTCGGTACAGAGAGAATTCGAAAAAAAAATCGTAGCTTTCAAGTGGTACTCGACGCAGCATGTTTATTTATGGAGCACGTTTTACCCGCGACAAAGATAATTTCGCGTGACGATCGTATTGTTGAATAAATGTCACGTACACGTGCCGATTGCATCGTGATCGTTTATAAAACTGGTCGACGTGTCGTGGCTGCATTTAGCGGCTAGCACCGCGGTACGAAATTTTTTCCGTCATTAATAATGTAAAATTGAAAGCAGTAAATTAAACGTCGACCAGCGCAGCGGTTCGATCGGAATTTCATCGACGGAAATAGTGCACGATGCGCGTTGATTTGTATCATGCTCGTTTGCCCGTGATATCGTAATTGTACCGATGCTACGCGAACCATCACCATCAAAATTCTACCTGGAATCGCGTTTTTGACGATTCAAAAAAAAAGTATCAAGTCAGTCGGAAAGTTTTGACCTTTTGCAACTACTCGCTTGAACTTTTCAGACCTGGTAATTTATATGAGCATTTTATTTTATATAAAAAGGTGAAACGATCTGAACGAATATTAATCTGAAGATGAATGACTGAGAGTCCTTAAGATCAATATTACACCTTCTAATTAAGAGTAGGTTTAAGAGGGGCTACAGCCTTGGGTCCCATTTTCCAGGGGGATGAATTAAAATTTTACTCGTTTAGATCTTAATATTTCTTTAAAAAATTCCATTTTTCCTCGGCGTATACTCTGGCAATTAAATTTCTTACTATCCTTATCAAAACATCCGAATTATCAGGGCAGCCGTGACACAGATAATTATAACACTGTCGGCAATTAGATATTTTTTCGAAATCATGAATTCTGCATCATTACGCATCGTTACGATTGCTGTTACGAAACGGGAGAAAATGTTTCAGGCGTTGATCGATATCTGGGTAATAAGACGACCGATAGAAACGCAACGTGTACAATCGGTGTATAACAGATATCAGAGAGAATTTATCGGTGTGTACACGTGGTACACTCGTATCTGCCGCTCGAATGCGGAGAAACGCATGCATTTCAATGGCGTGATTGAGAACGTGCACAGGGTCGAGTTCTCTCTCCCTTGGGGAAGTTTCACGGGTCAGAAAATCATGGGGTGGCTTTACCACCTGGCCGTTTCTCCCTCCCCGTGTGTCCTCCACGTACGAACACACATACACACTCGTGATTCCCTTCACGTTTCACCTGTGTCTCTTTCTCTTTTCTCCCCCTTTCTTCGCTTTTCTCTCTTTCTAAAATAATGCACCACCCCGTTGCAGTTTGTCTGCATACCAGCCGAGCCACAATCACGCGATTCTCGCGTGGGTATCGGTCACCAGCTACAGAATGAAGCTTCTTTTAATCTTTTCATTCTTCCCGTTTAGTCGTGCGCTTTCGTTTAATCATATTTACGGATGTTTAACCCTTTCAAAGAGGATTGTTGAGTGTTTATTTACCGTCGCGTTAAGGTTTTCAAACGTTGCATTTTATAATATCGTTCATTGGGGATTGTTTTCAAATATTATTCTCTAATATTTGTAGCAAGATCATGATTTCCCAAATAAATGATAACCAGCACTATAATAGCGGTTGCAAATGCAATGACCAGCCCAATGAATTTGCATAAATACTTGCAGTCTAATCATCAGATGGTTATATTTTTTAAAAGAAAGTGATTCATTTCATAGAGATAAGCTGGGTTCTATAAATCATCAGCCAATGATTCTGCTAAGTTGTAATAGATGCTATTTTTTTTTCTTCTCAGTTTAATTAACTCTTCTGTTTTACTAGCTCGTTACCGAAGTCATATAATCATCTGAAAAAATCTCGCGAATAAGATGGAGCGTTATAAAATTCTGTATCCAAGATCGTGGATGACTATTCGTTTCTCGTGACCATATCTTTCTGCGTTCATAATGACAGCGGCTGGTAAAAGCAAATAATGACATTTATCACGAGACTACTTGTACACTCGGGATCAAATCAGGCTTCCCCAGGAAAAATAATGTTTCTAGCCTTTTGATTACGTAATTTATACTTACCCGTGCAAAGAAGAAGGAAATAAACTGAAAGTCTTTTTAGAGCTTCTTAAGTCATCGAGTTTAATGAGATTCGATTTAGCGATAAGCGTTCAGTTTGGGATTCTCGTCGGCGTATTGATAAAATATTGATGACATCATGAGCATATTTTTAAATCGAATTACAGCTACTTTGCTTAGCTTGTTTTGCAGAACTTTCGAGCAATCTAATCAGCCGAGTCATTTCAAAAATTAATTATTCGAAATGAAGAATTGTCGAAGATTTGTTCGTGAAATTACGAATCCGGTAAAGCTTGTAATTATTTTCTAAATTTTTAGAGAGCGTTAATAGAATTATTGAAATCTGTGAAAGAGCACAAACTTTTAAATTAGCATTTGTGATGATTGGTATAATAAATGCAGAAATTTTCATACAAGATTCTTTTAACTTGACTTTTAAAATCGTCGAGATTCTTCAAAGTAAATATGTATTTTATTCGTTTGTAGATATGAAAAAATATAAGCAGGTACAATTTCGTGATCAAGATGCTCGTTAAAAAAAAGAGTGTTGAAATCTCCTTCGTAATATATTCGTAATATCGAAAGGTAGTGCATGAGGGTATATTTGCAATTCAAAACGAACTAACTCGTTTCGTTTCGCAGAAATGCAAGAGTCGTAATGAAATAGTTCAATTTCACTGAACAATGTGCTGTAACGAATGATGATAATCTGTTTTCACCTGGTTGCTTTTCGTAGTATATTACATAAAACAGTCTGTATTTTGATTATTACGGAAAGCAGAATTTTTGGAAGCAGTGGTAATTAATTTTGGTCAAAGAATTAAGTAATCTATATCGATACCATATATAACAAGAAGACCTTCAAATAACTTCTATAATTTAAAATCTTGCCTGATCCTTGATTTTTTTTGAATTTTCTTCTTCCTCGAATACTCGAGACAGTCGTAGCTTCTTCTTAAGAATTGGTAAGATTAAACCTGTTTTTCGTATAACAAAATAAATTTTTTGGTAAACAAAGGATCTCGTACTAGAAAATCTCACCGGTATCCACCTTTTATTTTAAATTAATGAAGATTCAAAATGATTTATTTTTATCCAAGAAATCACCGCCCTTGAAATTTTATTGCGCTGGATAGTGTGTCCTAATGTGATAACGAGATAAAGCGGATGTTTATTTCATGGCAAGATTATGGTCACCCTATCATCAAACGATCGTAACGGTTTAATGCACAGGTTGAGAGGACCATCGGCAAGGGGGCAGTTAGTTAGAAAGGTGAAAGATCAGTAGGTAGCCGTACAGGTAGATTTGATCGTTAATGATTTTGATCGCGAGGTCGTTCGACGATGAAATTGACAATTCTTCCTCTCAGAAATTGTCGTTCCGCTAATATCTTTCGTAATAAATCACAAGAACGGTTTATACAGGGTGTACCATTTAATTCATTTCAAATTGCTTTTATTTTATTTCGATTCCAGTCTCGTTGGGATGCCAGAAAATATACAACACATTATAGCCAGTATGCAAAACAAATGCATTATGCAAAATATGCAAAATAGAAATTATTTTATAACACACACAAAATTTAATTCCAGCTCCTGATCACAAATAAAAAAAAAAATAAAAATACGCACTTGGATGAACATTTGCCATTTAATTGTTATATAGGTAGCGTAATAAATAATTGTTTTTAAATCATTAAGTTTTATATCTAATACGAATTGAAAGCAAAAGATATGACAGAGAGTTGCATATATTGTGTGAGAAATAATCAAAACCACCCCTTCGGTACTATTTCTAGCAGTCCATTAGTTGGTTAAATTAAACGAGGAAAAAATGTAATAAACCACGACACGTCGCGTCTCTGCAAACGATATAGAATTCTCTCGACACTGGAGAAAGATTAAATTGCCGCCACCTCTTCGCACCCCTTTAGTTTCTTTCTTCTCTTCAGTAGATACTGAGAGAACCTATTTTTCAGACATTCTACGAAAATATATCGTTCTATATTATTTTTAAAAATTTGAAAATGGGGTTTGATACATTACCCCTGTTACCCCTTTTTGTTCAACGAAACATTAAAAGTTGGAAAAGGGGAAGAATCATTTCCTTTAAAACAACCTCTACCGTGTATCATTGTACACGGATCGTTCTCGACTACGTTGTCCAGCGCGTTACGATCGTGGAAAGTACAAATGGTAGAGATTTTCTCGCATGGTTCGCGGAAAGCCGATGGAGGGTAAGTGAAAGACGATGGAAACGGGTTTTACAGTTACAGAGCTCGGTGTTTACGAGTTACCGGTGCCCTCCCTCTGGGTATAAACGCTATTTGCGCCGGCAAGATCGCCCGTTTCCTCTTTCCCCGTACACCACCTCGCCGTCTGTTTGCGTTGCCATCGTCACCGGTGGTAGCTGCGGCGACACTGGCGTCGACGCCGTCCTCGACGACGCCGACGACATCATTGTATTAACACGGTCGAATGGAAATTACAGCGACCTGGTCATCCCGACGTTTCGTGGGCGCGTTTACGACGTCGTTTTCCCGCTTTTAATGAACAATGAGCGCGACGAACGTTTCCTCTACTACCTCGTTTTATCGCCCGTTCCTACGAATACCGGATATCTTTTTCTCTTTTCACATTCTACTATCGTTCGTTTAACACGTTCCTATCGTTTTCTTCATCGATACACTGTTTACGGAAGCGTTTGAATTATTTCTCTCGAATTGCCAACTTTCAGCACGGAAGAATTTTCTTGCTTTCGATAAACGGGGTAACCGCTCGATAATTCTCTGGTAGGAATTAGTCCAAAGTGACCCCACTCTCCTAGACGCTCGATAATTCCACGTTTCCTCGAAAGACCCACGTCGAAATCCTTGGAAGCGGAGAATTATCGAGCGACCTGGTGTAATCGATGCTTGGAACCGATGAGACGAAATACTGAACCGACTAGACGAAAGCTTCTCCGTTCATTTTCTGGAAAATTTGTGAGACTATCTATACGTGTTGTATATCTATCTATTCGTCTCGATGAATACTACACGATACCGTCAATATTTCTGCGATTTTTCGGCTTTGAATCGAGCCTCTTCGTCGGTTTTCTCGAAAATTACAAAATTAGTTACACGTTCTACAAAATACTGCGTAAACACGTCGTGTTTCGTGATTGTGTAGAAAGTGGTATTTTATTTTGATTAACGGGAAATCTCGGTAGATAGGTCATAAAACTTGTAGTAGGGAAAATTTATCGTCGAAGAATCAGGTTTTATTATCTGTGGAATAGTGATCGTCTAGACATCCTTTTCTTTAGAATTTAAATAACGTTGTAAGAATAAATAGTTTATCCCGGATATATTTTTTATAAAAAAGTAAATAAATGCAACGATCAAGTGGTTGGGGATTTAGTTTGTAAAATTGAGAATTGTTAGCTGGCGTTAGTTGCAATAAATCACTTAATGCTACAGCAAGTGTTTATTATCGATAAAACACTTTTTACTCGGAAATAAAAATAGCAAGTTCTCTTCTTTTGTCATCAATAAGAAAAGAAAAGAAACTACATTAGACATATTCACTGTAGTTTTAGCTACAGAAATAAAAGCAACACGTTTACTTCTGTCAAATCAGTGATTTTAATTAATTAAATAGCGGTTTCTTTTGTATGCAAAGATAAAGTTAGTTAACAGAGACAGCGCAGAGCGTGTCTTTCTTATTTTAGCATGGAAAATCGTCGACCGGGAGAAACTTTCTAAGTGCAGACTGCATAATCCATTGCATGCCGAGCGTGTACTCGGTGGTCTTGGACAAAAATTATTTTAAATACGGAGTAAAAGAACCTCGAAGTAACTGTGTTGAAAAAACAGCTGAAATAAAACGATTCATAATTTAGATTTGAAAAGGTGACGTCTTTATTTCGTAATTTCGTTTTTGTTTGAAAGATTTCACTTCAGAAAGAAGTCTTTTACAACAAATTTCTGTCGGAAATAATTAAAATACAAAATAAAAAGAAAATTCGAAAATTATGATTTTATCAAATTTGAATACGATGACCGCGAATTTGGTACATTAATTTTGCATACCGCGCGTGTTGATTGATGTTTGAAAATGGTTCGTTCACTTCCGCTGGACGAATAGAGATAAATCTGAGACAGCGTGTGCTTTATCGCGCAAGATGTTTCACCGGTGACGAACGGGTCGTTTCATTTTCTAGGAATAATTATTAATCACAGATACGGTTTGGTCATTCGCATACAAATTCCGCGAGGCTGCCCACTTACACTTGGAAGCAAACCAAAGATCTCTAGGATTAGTACTTAATATTAACATTTTTAATATCTTTATTCTTCAGTGTCTCATATGAAAATGTTCTCCTATTTTTCAGAATCCGATCATTCCACCTGTCCACCCGCACACTCCTTCAATTGATTTCCTACTAAACGCCGCCTCTGCTGTCCTAGGTAATTAAAACTATATCCAATATTTATATTTTGAACTTCAACAAAAAATTGTTCATTGAAAGTAATATTTTTATCGCTTGGAAATAAATGGTCTAAATAAGGGTATTTTGGAAATCCAACCCTTTCGATGTATCAAAATACCGGTATTATTGTCGAATAACCGTGAAGATAGAAGTCGAAGGGTAAGAATGAAAGTGGTTAGGCAGTTATATCCCGAGAGAAGCGAATAGTTTTCATTAGGGCTCGAATTGGCCTCGAAGAAGCGTGGTTTGGTTGTTGGATCTTGCATGGAGGGCCGTCTAAGTATATCCGTGTTATTTCTGGCGAAAGCTGACGCACTGTTTCTCTCCTCATCGCCTCTCTTCTCTACTCGAGTCTTCCAAAGAATTATCCTCGTGTAAGCAAAGCACGATACACTTGGACCGAAATTATTCCCCTCTCTCGAGAACGTTCGATCGAACGGTTTCCTATGGTCTCCTCGATCACCCTTAACCCTTTCGGTGTTAATCGTCTGGTCCATGCTTCGTAAAATTTTAGGACTTCAGAATTTAAAAGTTCCAGATTATCAAAACTCGAAAATTTTAAAATTTCTAAAGACCTACTTCACCCTAGAATAAAATCCCAGTTACATCAATGTTGATAGCGTATTTTGGATGCGGAGATTTCAGGGAGTTACCGGGTGTTTGGTGAACTTAAGGTAAACTAGACGTTTTCAATCGGGTTTGAATCAGGAAATTAGCGAACCACTTTGTGTACAGAGTACACAAAACTCATTTCGTGTCATTAACAACATTCCACCCTACCTAACGGTGCAAAACTTGAATTCACCGAACTTCCTGTAATCTCGATCCATTTTGTTGAGATAGCAAACGTTTAAAATTGCACTTGCCCATAATGAAGTGGCGTGGTACTTGAAATTAAATTAGACGCGACGATGGTTGAATGAATCAGCTGAGAAAATAATTGTACTTCGGTTATAATTACGGCACAAGGACGTGGTGAACGTATATGCTGTTGTTACTCTAACATTAAATACAATAGTAGTTGATGGTGGATGAAAGAACGTAGGAATGGACATGTTTGAGGGGAATTCTATGGTGACTAAATACGTAGAAGTGTTTGGTATTTCTGTCGAGCGAAGAGATTCGACAAGCTCGTAATAGGCATGTAAAGGTCGAGCAGAACGGGTTCTAGCGATTTTCGTGGAGAATCGGCGAGCGTATCGCTGCCAGCGTGTGTTACGAGGATCATGGGTCCCTGTGACTCCGGCACAACCCGTCGTGAATTATTCATCGGGGCCGTGGCAGCCGTTGGGCCCTCTTCTTCTGCTCACGTGATCCTCTTCGTCAGCTCGTGTACTCTATACATATGTATACAACGCACCTACAATCACATGTGCGACCGTGCGCGTTCGAGCATCCTCTTTCTCCTTTCGTTACCCGTTATACGGGGTGGCTACGAAGTTTTGCCGATCAGATACATCAATCTTCCTTCCCATTGAAAGATTCATGAAAAGTCAAACGCAGAAATCATCCACTGCAACCGAGGCTTCGGCTTAAAACAGCGGAGTCTCGGTCTCTCGAAAATTCGGGCTCTCTCCATGGTCCGCCGTCCGAGGGGGATTAACCCTTTCGCTGCGGCGTAGGTATCTGGACTAAAGTGATCAAATACAAGTTTGATATCGGAAGGAAAGTAAACGTAGAAATAGAAAGGGTTATTGGTATTGTTCTTTGATCATTCTGATCATGCGTGTACGTAGTGTTTGCGATGGCGGTCGTTTACATTGACATTATTTTTTCTTCTTTTTTGTTTGCATCTTATATAACGTGGACAATGCAAGAGCCACGCCACGCCAAACGAACGATTAACCTCGAACTTGCCACGACCTCTGGACGCTTCCCATTCGGCTCGATATACTCATCATTCCGTGTAACTGCTCACTCGTCAATCATTGTCAGCCATTGGTACCTCTTCTTTCCCTTAGTAATGGTAGATCCGAAATACAAGGTCGTTTAGCACCTGCTCTACAATTAATTCAGTGTCGAATCCCTGAAGATTATTACTGATAAGGGAGATTCGGCAATCGGGAAAATTGGAAAAATTTCAAAGTACTTATCACCTGGTTAACTAGATTTTAATAGTGAAACATGGAAAGGTGTTTAATGATTAGATCATAGTGGACGTAAGGTAGATCGTGTGAAGAGAAGGGAGGGAAGAAAGAGGAGATGGATAAGAGCTGGGCGATGAGGAGTAGCTTAGCGTCATTGAAAGGTCAACACTATCAAGTGCACACTTGTCGCCCGGTTCGTTTACAATGCAAGCTGCATCCTAAGCGACGAGCACGTCGCTTTCCTACGGTTCGTTCACCCCGTACCGAAATTTCTTTCCAAAGTGTCCTGTTCGTCGCGGACAGGAAGGACGTAGAAGGCTTCTGCTATCTACCCGGTGGCTTAAGAAAGAAAGAAAATCCAAATTCTACCGCTGTTTCTTCTTCAAATATTATTCGTATCCACCGAAATTTTTGTATCAAACTTTCAACCGAAAAGCGATTAATTTATACAAATATAGTTTATTTAATTTGCGAAGACAATTCTGCTGGTTTGCAAAAACGACTGAAAGCAAATACTTCAATTATTTTCCCAATGTCAAGCGAACAACGTCGATGCTTTTTCGCAGCTCTTTTGTTCGCCTGCTGGTTTACATAATTCAAATGATCCTCTCTCTTTCTCTTTCCCTTTCGTCATCATCATTCCCCTCGTGACCGTCCTCCCCTCTTCCTTTTCGAATGCAATTTCGACGTCACGCAGTTGCGTCTCGCCGCGACATTGCACTCCAATTAAACCAGCCGAACGAATTCCCCCATCGACCGTTTCCATTTTCACGTGTACGCGTTCGTATTTACGTGTCAATTTCCTCGTAGAGAGCGCGAGGGGCGAGGGGAAGGTGATATAGAAGGCATCATCGTCGCGATGATGATCATCGGAGTATCTAGAATTCGAAGCTGGGCTGGTTCGTTTGGCGCCAAGCCAGGCCGACTTACCCAATTAGGTTTCATCACTGGGTCGGCAGCTTCCCTGGCTGCCAATATTTGCAATACCTAACTAAACTGATCCAATTATAACCAAACCACTGGTCCATCACTCGATCGACATTATAGTTTGCTCTGCACCAGATACGAGTTACACACGCGACGTATCCGATCACTCTGCTTCGATTATTATTGAATCATACCTTCGATCGAGAAAGATATTGAAAGGTTGTCGTCGTTTGAATGAACAGCAAAAATGTTGACATTCGAGTCAAGTCGATTTTCGAATGGAAAATTAGTTATTAAATTACAATTTAATTCTCGAGTATTTGTTATTATGTCTTATATGTAAACGTTGAATGAGCGAACCCGGCAGTGGCCGCGGAGAGTAGCCGTGTCTCAGCCGGAAACGAATCGTGCCAAATTCTCGTTTCATTGTATGTTTGTACAAGTGCAAACGAGTAACGCGTGAATGGTAATAATGCGTCGTATTTGTTGCTTTTATTTGAAATATTATTCGAAGGAATCGAGTCATTCTGGCACCTACTCTTCTCTCATTATCTCGTTAGGATAATGAGAAACGATTCTTGCGCGTTTGAAAAATCAAGGATCAGACGTTAAATAACTCAATGACAGGGCCTGATCCTCGAATCCCCGTGTACCCATCGAAAATTGACTTCTTATTCGAGCGCTATCTGTAAACGGCCGGTCGGCTTGTTTCAACGGGGGAAAAAAAACTGAGGAAGGACGATCCTTCGGGGTACGCGGAGGACCTCTTCACAAGCGTATAGACAGATTTCAGTGTAGGTTGTGGCGGTTGTACGCGCACGAATGCTTTCGAGGTCCGAGAAGGGAATCCGCGGTAGTCCATTGGCATCGGCATCGGCGGCCAGTCGAATAGGAACACATCCACCCGGTGAAAACGGGGTGTGTATAAAGGAGATGCTGGCAACGGTGGTGGATGGAAAGACCCGGCAAAGAGGGATAGAAAGAGAGGAACGATGGTGGGCAGCGGCAAGGATGAGGGCAGGAGGGGGGGCGAGGGTCAGAGAGAAGAAAAGAGATGGAAGGAACCGTGGCCGCCTCACCGCTATTCCAGGCATTCGATTTGGTATTTTTCTTTGTGCATCGCGGATAGTTCGAATTGTTCTGCAAGCAGGGCATTGATATATCGTCCCGCGGGTCCTTTGAGCTGGCTGCGCGGCTCCGAATTATCGTTCGCGTACTCTCACGGAACCGAGAGCCGAGCTAACCTTCTCCTCGTATGCTGCACCCCCTTTCGCCGAATGCACTCGCGCCACCCTACCCCTCCTCCTTTACCATGTCCCTTCACCCTTTTCCTACCTTCCTCTACTACCCTCGCCGAATCGCCGTCCCTGGGTCAATTTATCCGAGCCTCCTCCTCCTTTGCTTTATTTCGCTCGAAATTTACTCATACCTCCCTACGCTCTCGCGTTCCGCCTCTAGAACGCTTTTTCGTCTTCTTCTCGTTCGGATACCTATCTACCTACCTACCTAACCTACCTTTTGTCTCTCCGGCTAGGCTGCCAGTTACCCTCGCTTCACTCGGGACAAGTCCAAGAGGGTTTAGGAATTCACCGGCCACGTCCTTCGGACATCCCAGATATCTTCTACTCTCTTTCCTCTACTTTGACCTTTTTTCTCTCCCTTTTTAACGCCGACGTTATTAGAGGAGTCGGAGCGATAGTAATTGGTGGATTTTTGTTGAGTCCCGGAGGGATCTGTTTGGTCAGTTCGCGTTCGAAATTGAATTTTATCGTCCGACGAAAAAGGTAAAATAATTTCACCAGATTTAGACGACCATCCCCGTCGCTGTCCCGCTACCTTTTACAATATTTATTCGAATTTCCGGTTTTCCATACCGGTTTTTCACGGTACGGTCCAGCGCGAAGATCAGAGAGGAAACTTCAGAGTTTTCTCCTCGCCGGAGCAGGGAATTGTTCATTTTTAC